AGAGAGAGAGAGAGGAAGTACACAAGTTGTCGCGACACAGCTTATCTGATAGATGATGGCGCATTTATATATCGTAGTATTATCAATGTAGTACGATATATGCATGATGTAAAAAGGAGAAACCTAGATCGTTTCAATATTCTAGAGGTTTTTATATTTAACAGGATTAACATAATAATTGAATGTCGTTATTCTCATTATTAACAAATTTTCTTATTATTATGTATTTATTATTTAACAGATAATACATATTCTGTTTTATAAATTTATATTGCCAATTAAAAAATATTTTTTTCGACAAAGCATTTAAAGATTCTTTAAATGAAGCGTATTGCGTTTTACTGTAAAAAGTGCATTTGAGAACTTTTAGTCTGACAGGATTGTACGATGTCAGAATAACTGTACACATGTGTAAACGCGATAGAACAACATTCTACATATTATGAATCTCGTAAGACAACGTAAGATTGTATACATATTTCCATATTTATATTCATAAAGAAATATTTATATTCATAAAGAACTCAAGAAATTCAACGTGATCATTTATTACGTAGTCAGATCGCAAATATGTATTTGTGAAATGGATGTATCATATTTTTTTAAAACATTTACAAAATAAAATAAGTGCAAAAATTGATAATTTAAAATAAATGTAATTGCTATTTAGTTCAATTCAAGTGTTTGAGTTTTGATTATTTGATTACGTTAATGTTTTTAAAATAATTCATCGGATACCTTTTTTTAATATTGTATTTGATACAATAATGTGTACGATATAAATACGAAGTAGTAATATATATAATCCAGTTTTCTAGATGTATTGATTTTTTTTTATTTTATTTTTTATTGCTTATTAACTATTAGAAAAAGAATTTTGTATTTTAAAATTGTTTATATGTATAATTTTTAATATAAATATATTTCTAACAATCGCAAACGCAAAATAGGAAACTTAATGAAACAATGCCGTTTATATAATTATATTATATATTGTAGAAGTTATATAACTTATTTATATACTTTATGAGTATATATTACATCCATAATTGATTACAATTATATTACTGAAATTCTGAGTAATTATTCTTTTTATTTTTGAAATGGTCGTTGGAAATGTTTACAATCGTGGTTCCTCTCAACTTTCTTAAATTTTCTCTTTTTGTTTATTCTTGTTTATATTTCTCGTTACTGTTGTTTTATTTATTTATTAATTTTTAATATAAAGCAAAAAAGATAATATCAATAATATAAATATAATCATATAAATGCGTGTGTGTGTGTGTGTGTGTGTGTGTAGTTATTATATCTATGTATATTTATTATTATATATATATATATATATATATATATATATATATACACTGTTGTACTATTAACCTTTGTCACAACTGTCAAAACGATCTCGACGATGATAGCGGCTTACGAAGTGAGCGTAATGAGAAAACCAATCGACATCACGGAAAAATGACAATGACGAATAATTTCAATAGATTCGAGTATCGATTTAATATGCCTTTTTAAAAAGTGTGGATGTGTCAGTAAGGATAAAGACTTTTTTATCCGGTTTTATTCTTTTTTATGCCGTTAAATTATGAACGAGCATACATGTGAATTGTTCTGGAAAGATGGGAACAAGTTAGATTTTACGGTTACGAAACCATTAACTTTCAAAAATATATGGACAACTTGGTGTGGTATCAATAAATATACTCCAAAATGCAGTCTTCACATGGACAGCATAGCTATGATGACTACCCACAAAATAAGACATGTTGAATGCAAATATTGGTGGATAATACATCCATTTAGTTATGCCAGGTATTAAGTACATTTTTATAAAAGGAGTTATTTAAGAAAGTCAACATTTCAAGTAAATAATATCTTTACTTCTTGAAAGACAGCACAAATAAATATTGTTGTCTCTCTGAAAAAATAAAATAAATATTCACAGATTCATGTGGGATACTTTGATGATGGTAATTTACATGATCGCTTTCTTTACGATTCCTTTTATGATTTGTTTTGTTATAATGGACTACGAAATAATTCGTCTAGATAGAGTGAATATTCCAATTTACGCGATCTGTTGGTTAGATATAGTACTCAATTGTATTACGGGATATTATGACAAGAAAACCATGTCTTTTGAGTTGAAACCTATAAAGATATTTATGTAAGATGTTGCATCCAGTATCTTACTAATCCTTTTTGTTTACTTAATTGTATTTGTTAAATTTAGTTATTATTCAAATTTCTGTCTGTAATGTCAGATAAATAATTCTTTGTAGGTTTTATCTAAAAAGATTTCTCGTGCCAGATGTGCTATCGTCTTTTCCATATGATCACATGACATTACGATGGCGACGATTACCGGGGAATAATCCTAGTTATATCGTGACTTTAATTAATATCATGCCTCTTATAAAATTGATACGCTATTCTACTTTTAACTCACACATTTATTATTTATTCACGGTAATCTTTCTTCATATCTTCTATAAAAGAAAATATAATGGTTTATAATTTTCTTTACATACAAATGTCTTTTTCAGCATTTTAAAATAAAACATTTTTATTTTGAATTATGTACCATTTTAATGCTAGGAATATACTTAGTCTTTTGGTTTTCTTGCTTGTGTTATTTAATGCCAATTTTATTGATGAATTTTGCCAACATTTCACCGATGGTAAGCATATGTTTGCAATACTGATTTTTTTATGAAAATTTCCATTTTCAATTTATATTTCTAAAGCTGTAGCATTATTAAAATGTATTTTACGATGCATATAAAAAAAGGAGTGTAAGGATTGTTGGATGATGAAATTTAAAGACAGCAGTCTTAGATTTAAATTCAAAAACGCCGTACTTACTGTATTGGAAAATATATTAGCATGTGGCTACGGCCAATTCATACCCAAGACAGATGGCCTCATAATTTTTAATAGCATTCTTATGATTATCGGCAGATTTATCGTATGCTATATATTGAGTAAGATGTATTATGTATCTACCTCTTTGTCAGATTACATATACGTACAAAATTACATATTGTCCAAACAAGTGCTGTCTGAAATATCTCTTGCACATGCTCTTGTGCTTTTCAGTTATGTTTCTTCGTATTAAAGCTGAAAGGAAAGCATCCGAATCAAAATTTCAGGAGTTAATAGATCAAGTGAAAGCGTATACGAGACAAAAGCAATTATTGCCGCATATGAAAAAACGTCTCTTGGCTTATTATCACTATCGCTTCAAAACTACTTATTTTCGCGAAAAACGGATTTTATCAGATTTAACAGGTTAATGAGACTTATTCTAAAGAGAGGTGAAAAAGAATGAGAGAGGAGGTACAACGAATAAAATTAATGACAAAATAGTAAATATCGATGTGTACTTTTTATAGAACCGCTACGTGAAGAGATTGCGCTTCAGTCCTTTCGACGATTAATCGAGAATGTAATAATCTTTAAGAATTTACCAAGAAATATTCTGCAGTCGATAATAAAGAACTTAAAATTTGAACTATATTTGCCAAATGACATAATCATTAAAGCTGGTAGTCACGGTGACTGCATGTTCTTTCTATCTTCCGGAACTGTTGCGGTTTTGACGCCTACTGGAAAGGAAGTTGGTTCTTTAAATATTCGATACTATAGAATGACTATAGAATTTGTTAATACATCGCGAAAAAGACATTTGTTCTTTGTTCATATTTTTTCAAGATATGTCATTTGAACGATGGTGCCCATTTCGGCGAGATCGCGCTTTTAGTAGCGGATCAACGAAGAGTAGCCAGTGTCGTCGCGATCGAAGTCTGCGAGGTATATCGGTTAGATCGTAAAGATTTTCGTCAATGTATAGACATACACAGCGAATTATTCGCGGAGATCGAACGCATTGCCGCGGAACGCATAGAAAGAACCATGAGAATCGAGGAGCAACATAAGCGTTTTTTAATGCATCCGAATCGCGTGCCGAATCTACGCAATGCGTCCAAATCGGCAAAAACCTGAAACCCACTTTACAATTATACATATTGGCTCTTGTTTGTGTTGTCGGTTATTGTCTTTCGTGTTGATCATTTATCTCCGAGAATTTAACACAACTCGACGAATATTTTCAATTAGTTTTTAATTAGTAATTTTATGGTAATATTAAACTATAATAGCATCTAAAATATCTTATTATATCCTTACCTTTATCAACTCAATCGGTAATTAGAAACGGGATTGATTTCACAAAATGGTAATTGGTTTTTATCATCGCAAAACAACAATCATTTTGATAGTATAATTATATATTTAAGGATCTTATGCATTATTATTGTCCATATCATAAAATCGTAGATAGTAGCATCCTCTCGTATATTTATTACTATTTTTAAAATTATATATATACGTATATAATCGTTATCTATATTAAAATTTTATATATATACGGCACTTAGAATTACAATTGTATCCGTTAACACTTCATGATAGCGCTGTATGAGCTCTATACTTCTATGCTTG